TTTTCTTATTTTCTCTAAAAGAAATGAACTGAAATAATGAAATAAAAAGTAAACTGAGTATAATTTTTTTTAGTTCTTTAAATTTTCCATAAGAAATTAAAATAACTTTTTACAGGTTAGTTATTAAAATATCACTATGAACTTAAAAACATATTTTGAATAATTAAAAAAATCTCCTTTGAAGTTACATTTTGTTTTTATTTGAAAGATAACATCCTAAAGCTAATTTGTAAAAAATAAAAATTATGTATTTAAAAAGTACATTTTATGGCATTTTAAAAATTGCCAGAGTCACTCACTGAGTTGCCATTCTTGACAAAAAATGAAAATAGCAAATTTAAAAATCCCTTAAGAATCTAAAGTAAGCTAGAAAAATTAATAATTGTCTGGATTTTGTAAAAATATTTATTTTTGTTTTGGCTTAAAATATGGTGAAAATAACATTTATTCACGCCTGGTAATCCATTTGCTGTGATAACAACAGTAGCTTTCTAACGTTAATACTCGAAAATTTTATTATTAATTAAACTTTACATTTTTCAATTCTTAAAATGCATCTTCATTTAATTAATACAAAAATACTTTTTTCAGAATTGCAATGAAAAATTACAAATGCATTTTTTTAAAATAGATATTCAATGTAGATTTTATTTTTAAATCTTTTAAATTATGCAAGTACTAACTCTCAACAGAAATGTTTTTTGAGCTTTATCAAGTTATTTTTTTAGTAAGGTTCATGACAAACATTCAGTATGTTTATAGTTGAATCTCAATCTCAATATATATATATATATATATATATATATATATATATATATATATATATATAAAGAGATTTTATGTAAGTAAAAACATTTCTTAAACACCCTCAAAATTTCAATGTGTTAATATTTGAAAGTTTTAGGGTGAAACTGACAAAAAAAAGACTAAATGCATCACTTCACTATTGCACTATTGATCAACCTCAAACCTGCTCAAGCACAACCAGATTAGAGCTTTGTGGAAAGCAAAGCCAGCAACTGACTGGCTATCAGTTCTTTGCATTTCAAGAAAGCATGTGAGACATTTTTGAAAAAGACACAAGTATCAAGAAATACTTCTGAAACTTCATCTACAAGAAAGGATTGCTAAAAATGAGAGGCAAAAGAAGGAAAAGTGTCAATCCACTGCTGAGAAACAGAGAATCATTAAATCTGCCATCAAGTATGGGGGTCCTGTGAAATTTATTAAAAATGTACAACAAGCAGTGGTTTGGAAGCACTGAAAGATCAACTTGAATAACTGAAGGTTCTCCTATGGTATCAAGATCGACGTCAGTGGAAGTGAATCTCGGCTGAAAGTTGCTCTTTGCAACAACAGGAAAATCATTTGATTTATCTCCACCTCTAAGACAAAGGAAAGATGAAAAGGCATTCAATGATTCTGAGTATTTAAACAATTCTAGCAGTTGTGAAGAAGAACCACCTCAGGTAACCATCTGTTACGAGGATCAAGCCCATTGTGTTGCAGCATATTATGACTCCAACTTTTACATTGGCCAAGTCATTGGTCATAGTTAACCAACATTGAATTTGGTATGTAGATGACTAACTACTTGGGGAATACTAGGTACTGTAAGCTTGGATGTGTGGGTGGTGTAAATGGATAATGACTTAGAATTTTTAATCAGAACCAAGTTCAAATTCCAGCTGGGTTTGTTAAAATCACTTGCACACAAATACCCTTAGGAAAGGTACAAATCTACCTCCATCAGCTATGGGTTAATGGCTATACATTATCTCCAAAAATAAAATAAAATTGTGCACAGAATATCTAGATTTTGGCATTAAATAACCCACATTAAACAAAAACAACCAACTAACCACAATCACATCATTGATATTGCATCTCCATTCATTGCTGTGATAAAGGTTTTAGCTTTAACAAAGAGCATAAATATGTATTTCCAATGACCTTTGTCAGATGATATTGCACAAGTGAAATCAACATTTGTCTTCAGATTGGACTTTGTTGCAATGCCAATTTCAAGTGATGGCTGGATATAGTGTTCCAGAAATATCAGCCATATCAGAGGCTTATAAGGAAATTCAGTTGGCAAATCATCATTAGGAGAGGAAGTGCAGGAGAACCATTCACAATGTTCAGAAAATCTTTTCTATCAGTTTAAAAAAGTTTAAAACACTATAATAAAGTATTTGTTTTCTTTTTTGTAAAACAAATTTTTGAATTTTGTCATTTCTGTCCTGTTTTTGATGAGTTGAAAGTTATATAATTTCAAAAATCTTTCTAAAATAAGCCACATATATTACAAAAAAGTATTGATATTACATTAAAAAGAGCTGTTTTGCTGACTCCTCATCCCAAAATTAGTAAAGCTTCAGGCATGTACCTCCACTGGATACTATTTTATAACAAGTTCAGTATGATAAGCTTTTGACCTGTTTTTGCCCTAATGCCAAATTGCACTTCTGGTTATTTTTATATGGTGTAAATATAGTTTGTTTTATTGAAGTCCTACTGAGACAAAAAAATTACCTTCATCTCTTGTGTTGTGAATATAGGGAAGATATTACAAGGCATTAAATATTGAAATGAAACATATGATCAACCAAATTTGTCTTTCTGTATCATATTTTTATTATTTTGTTTTTGAGAACAAAATTTTCCCAATATTTAGGCTAGTCTGATCTAAGAATTATTGTTCTCATTAGCATTATCTTTTTTTTTTTTTTGGCTTCAAGACTATCTATGTGACATTACATTTGTAATGATTTTTAACTTGTTTGAAGCCTGCATCTTCAATTATACTCTGTTAAAATTGGCTTTTTGTCCAATAGCATATGAAACAAAAGTTTTATGAGCTTTGATTGGTCATAGCTTTGTTGCTGATTCAATTACCAAGGTAAATTTACTAAAAATAAAATTTCAATTGAGATAGTTACTGGGTGTGAAAGAAAATAGACATTACCAAGGAGCGAGAATAACAGAAGAGTAATAAAGAAGATAGTACATAATGATTGACATTGCATTTAAATTTTTGAAAATCAAAGTTAACTGGGAAGCAGGAAGCCAGAAAAAAATTCCACGAACAAGAAGTACAAGTAAAACTGTTAGCATAAAACTTAGTTACATCTAGCCAATTCAACTGTAACAAGACCTTGTTGCTAATCTACTCGACTGCATTTAAATTCATAGTCTAGGTGCCATGGCAAAGAGCTCATACAAACAATTACCATGAAAGTATTTATAGAAAAGGCACAGGGAAGCAACTTTACAGTGGTGTGAAAGTGTCTGAAGCTGAGACCTGAGGTCAGGACCATTGCTGATTTTTTTTTTTTTTTTTTTTTTTTTTTTTTTTTTGAATTGTATATTTAATCATACTGAAATAATTACATAATTTAAAAAAAAATTATCCTGATTATAGGCAAATTTCCTTTTTAAAAGGTCATGTATATTGAGGTATTGAATAAGACAATAATTAAAGACCAATAAAGGAACAAATATTATACTGAAGCAACAGGGTATATTAAGAAAAGTGGTTATAAAATTTACTCTAGTCACAATCTGATGGATATATTTATTTTACTTATACCAGATTACCTAATATAAAATGTTAGCATTAAGAAATTAATTTAGCTTATTCTCAATTTCACTACCAAGGTTTAAATTTACCACAAAATCTCAAATTTCTATATTTTACAGATAAAGTACAGTGATGTAATTGAACAAATGACTTCATAATTTTAGTATATATAAATATTCAAAAAAGTTATTCTAGTATGTTTACAGAGCAGTCAGTAATTAAGTTTCAAATCAGTGGCATTTGAGATGAGTTTATTCCCCGCTATGACATGATTGTCTAATTATATGAATAGAAGGCAGCTTTTTGTAAAAAAAAAAAAAAAAAAAAGTTTCATAGATACTATAAATTAGATTTCCCTTTAAGATAATTCAATTAAATAGAGCAGCCTTTATTCTATAAATTGCTAAAACACTATCTTTTCTTCTAATTAAAATATAACATTGTTTGTTTATTAGAAAATCATGTTTTCAATATTTTTTTTTTAATTTTAACTCTTGTAATCTTACAAAAAGCATCAATTGATTTCATTGCCTTAGTTGCAATCAAAACTCTTGTCCATAATTTATCTATTTATTTTTTTTTTGCCTGTGCTAGACTAGCTCTTCATACCACGATCCATTATTAGTTATAATATTTATTATTAATAGTATTAACTTTGATTCAAGGTCTTTTTTATATACAAAAATTAAAGAGGTGAGATTTGAAAGAATAATTAAGTACAATACTGTATATTAGAGAGATTATACACTAGCCCATGATTCAGTTAATACTTTTGTTGCAGACTATTTTTAGACAAAGCAGTAGAAACTAATTTTCTCTGTTAATTCTCTTTAATGTATCTTCCTCTCAAATTCATTAATAATTGAGTTAATTTGTCAACAGATTTAGGATTTCACATGTTACCCTCCTACTCCAGCATGTATAAAAATAGTTTTTCAATTAGAAAACACTAAACTTAATACATTGATATGTCAAGACAAAGTTCAATCATGAATACATGATTCTACTTGGTATAATTTCAAATAATGGCAGGTGTCATTGTTTTTATTTTAAGATTTTCAAATTACTGGTATGTGAGTGTATATAAGTGACTTTAAGCTCAGTGGTCTTATAAATTCAAATATAGTTTCACTTTATATTTAAAGAATCTAAAACATGTTGTTACTGGGATTCTTGGGTTGAGGATACAAATTTGTAGCATTTTATCATTTTTCCATCTTTTTTTTTTTTTTTTTTCCTTTTCTGAAAGTGTTTATAATATCTTAATGCTACTTAGATTCTTAGACTGATTTTTAAGGTTTTAGCTTAATTTTTAGTCAAGTTGATTTTTTTTTATTTATTATAGTTGGTTTGTTTTATTTATTTTCTCTCATTATCTTAAAAAAGTCTGATTCATATTGTTTCTTGCTTTTTTTAGACAGTGAGGATGAAGAAAATCAGCCGGACAAAAATGAGTTGGTAAATACTGTGAATGCCTTAAGTGCCCGCTTTGAAGATTTGAACACATGCAACGACCTCATTGTGAAACAAGGTGCTGCCTTCCAGCGTGCACTCAACGAACATGAGCATGTGGACAACACAGCAGACTCAACAAGCAAGATAAAGGCAATCAATGAAAGAGCAACACTCTTCAGAATTGCATCCAATGCTATGCTAAATGTGAGTTAAACAGCTTCAGTTATTTCATTTAAATTTTTCAGTTTAATTTTTCTGCACTTGTTTGAAATTTGTTTTATTCTAAATTCTTATAGATAAGATTTTTGTTGTTCTGGAATATAATCCTATAGAAATTACAAGTCTATTTAAGTTTTACTTTATTTTTCTTAATTCTTTTTGCAAATTTTACTTAAACAATTTCAACTGTAATAAGGACAAACTTCTAATTATTTTTTAATTATCATTAATTTTGTGCTCATCATTTTTAAAGAACAAGAAATTAATAATTTCTTTGTTTTACATAAATACTTGAAAAACTTAAAAACATTTTACGTTTCTATGTCCTTTTTCTTATCTTTTTGAACTAGAGGGATTTTTTTTTTTTTGGCAAAAAGATGCATTATTAAGAAGATAAAAAGTAATGTTTTATACTATATAAGGAATAGCAATTTACAAAACAGCTTAGATGTGGCACAAGATCGCAAATATGGAGCAACCAGTGAGGATCAAACTCACTACTCAGTTGTAGTTGATCTAGCAAAACAAGCTTGCTAGCAATTACACTGTCAAAGTCCCCATACTAAGTAAGAAATAAGATTAATCTCACATATGAAGATGTTTTAAAGGACATGAAATGTATTTCAGATTTCTTCTTTATTTTAAAAAACAAAAATCCCTTTTTTTATGAGCATATATTTTTTTCTTTCATATTTTGTAATATCTTCTTCCAAACATTTAACTTAAATAAGATTCTCTACTCACCACCAACTCATCATTCCTAGAATTATTTTTATACTCTTTAAATTATACTCTTCATAATCAAAATAAGCACTTAAAAAATTTAACCTGAAATATATTTACATTTTTATTATTTGCACCAAAAACAAAACTACAGAAAAGAAATGCTTAAGCAATATCTTCTGCTAGATTTTCCTCCTAATTTAAAAAATATGTAGGATTTGATTTTCAGTTATTTTAACTTTCTGACCAATTTGAAATTTTTGCTATCTCTAATACTAATTATGTCTTTATCAAAGGTAAAATATAGGCATTGTTTTAACAACAAATATCAAATGCTTTTTTTCTTTTTCTATAAATATTAGCAAAGCATTACAAAAATTAATATTGCAATTTTTTAAAATTGTGAAGTTTTATATTTTCTTAGCTATTTTTATAAATAGTTAACAGGATAATTTAATAGAAGAAATATAATTGTTTATGAATGAACTTGGATCTATTAATTGTACAAAATAAAACCTTGATTTTTACAAATTTTCCTACTTTTACATCTGTAGCTTTTTTTTCTCGCACTCTTTCTTTGTGTCTATCTCTCTTTCTGTTTCTCTGCATATATAAATTTTTGTTTTATGCATGACTTAAATTACATATATTTATGTTAGTTTACTGTTTGCTTTCAGTGGAATATCCATTAGGTTGAATCATAAATAATTTGTTTCTGTTTTCAACTTTATTCTTCAAAAAATAAAGTACAATTAAATTTTTAAATTATCTATTTTATACCGGAATGGGGGGATGGTTGAATAATGAATAAGAAATGTAATGCTATGATGTAAGTAATAAGTGATTAACAGCTGAAAGGTCATTAAGATTAGGAGATATCTTTGAAATATACAAAGACATGTCTTCAGTGGCCTTGTTCTATTTTCATATTCTATATATAACTATTAAAGTATCAGGAAAATGATTGTACATTTATCTTTAATGTGCCAAACTACACAGGAATTACATCTTTATAGAAAATAAAAAGGTTTAAGCAAAACATATTTTTATAACTTCTAATAACTAATCTAAGATAATATAAATAAGTGATTAATTGATAAAATTGACTAATTTGTTGTTTTTTTTTATTGGTAACTTCTTACAATAAGTTTTTTTCTTTCATATAAAAAAATCAAATGATTTATTGAAAGTTCTGTAAAAATAGCAACACCTCAGTTTTATTTCATCACAAGATTGAAATTTTATACTCTTCTAATATCAATATAGTAATTAAATACTGTTTTTACAAAGCTGCAATTCATTCAAAATAGGTGAAAATTATAAATACTGATCAAGAATAAGAAGCATAAAATATATAAAAAAGTGGCCTAAACCTCCTGAGATCGCAAGAAAAAAAATGAGTATAGCATGATGAAAAAGACACCAAACTTGACGAAAACAAAATTTTATCATCTAAATGTTTGTTATTTTTAAGAGGAAAGATCAAAGTATTTTGGGGGTATTTTTTCATTTTTTAATCATTCCTAGCATGTCTGAAATTTTCGTTAAAAATCTTGTTTTTTTTTTTTTTTTTTTTTTGAATCAGCAAAATTGACCATTTTATAAAAAAAAATGGAAATCTCACTTTGAAATTCTTTTTTAAATATCAATTATCATTTTTTCAAAACTTATTTTAAAAAAATCAGAAATTATAATGTTTATTTAAAATATTTTGAACCAAAAATTAACCAAAAAGATGTAAATTGAAAATAAAAACAAAGCAGGTCATAAACTTTTGCATCACTTGACAGGTGATGAATGACATATTGATGGATTCTGTGAGGCTAATTTGTTCTACGGGAGGAGAAAAGTGAAATAATTTACATTTAAGTGAACAAATTATTTACCTCGTTATTTTTAAGGAAAACTTTCAGCGCACTATTTTTTTTTTTTTTTACTTAGCTTTCACCTTTACGTTTACGATGCTTTATGGAAAATATATTCTAAAGAAATTAAAATAAGACTGTTAAGAGTGACATTAAATTTCATATTTCATAAGAAAGGTATTTAATTAAATTTATTTATTCTTATGAAATTTTATCAGAAGTGTACATAAAATACTATAATTTTATGTACATTTATTACATTTTACTGTGTTATTTGTATTTCCATTCATTTTTTTATTAATTTTGATATTTCATTTATGGAAAAATGTCATAACTGAGATTAATATAAAAAAAGATCATATAAATTTCATAAGATGATACTGATACTTGTAGGTACCCTTCTCAGTTGAAATTGAAAAATCAAATTAACTTCTCCACATGTGTTTTAAAAAAGTAAAGGCCTTAACAGCGGAGAACAATGCTTAACTCAAATAACACAACTTAATTGTATTCTGGTTGTTCTTCCGTACTTTATAATTACAGCCTGATTATAAACACAAAATTACATTTCTTAATTACTGTGGGTCTTCTGATTAGTCAAAATGATACAATTTACAACGCTCAAAAAAAGATCTATCTCATAAGGAGGAGACTTAGGAAACCTGATGCGGCTTTTAACTAATTTTATAATATTTTAACAACTTAAATGTAAAAAATCTATTATAATTAAAGAAATAACAAATAATTGTATTAAAATTCATTTTCATCAAAAAAAAATTTTTGCTTTCAGAAAATATTGTCCATATTCATAAAAACAACTAAAAGCAAATAAAAGCATTTGAAATTAAATAATATATTTGTTTTATTGAGTTTTGTATGTTACAATTCAGAGCTGATTTTCAGGTGGGGGGTCCAATTAAAAAAAAAAAAAACATGATTTGCATTCCTCAAAGCCTTGTGCTTTTTAACTATTGTAATCACTAAACCTGATCGATTGAATTTCTAGCATTTTCATAAAATTAGTTATGGGGGGTAATAAATATAAAAAAATATTTTTGCCATGACTTTAATAAAAAAAAATAAATAACATATTTATAATAATTTCGATCATCTGTGAATAGTTCCTGAAAGTTTCATTAATATCCGACAATTATTTATATTTTTGCAAAATTTTCCAAATTAATGTGTCATACCAAAAAAAAAAAAACGTGCTAAAAATTGTCTGTTATTTACTAGTTCCACTGATACAAAGAGAAACAAGGTTTTTTTAATCAAAATTTAGAATGTTCTAAAAAGAAGGAAAAAATTTTTAAAATAATTAAAAAAATCTTTGGTCTTTCCTCTTAATAATAACATAAACATTTAGACGATAAAATTTTGTTTTTGGCAAGGTTGGCGTCTTTTTCATCAAGCTATGCTCTTTTTTTAGCAATTTCGTGGAGGTACCTAAAAAAAACAAATTTAATCATTTGAGCAAATTTTACAAGCAGTTATACAAACTGAAAGTAGTTATTATGCAAAGGATAAAAGAACTGAAACCTAACAAGAATTGCTTTACACTTTATAAATAATTGTAAACAAATAGGAAATTATAAAGTTGAAGGAGAAATCAAATCATAAATGCAGTTAAAAATACTTTGAAATACTTCAGAAAGTTTAAACCCAAACAATATTAAGGAAGTTATTAGAAAAATCTATTGAGTTGAGTAATAGATAATTTTTGCTGTTAGAAACCAATTGCAATGATGAATGTATCATCCTAACTACCAATCATACATGGCAGTTAAGATTTAAATTTGGAGTACATGAACATATCTTAGTTTTTGTAAATGCCAGTGGCAGCATACACAGTGGATTAAAGGAAAAATCTTGTTTTTCTTCATGACATTACAAAACTAAGAATAGCAAGGAAAAGTTTTGAAACTCTGTTAGTCTGTTCTATCCCACCTGCCATATCCATCTGACCCTGCATCAGCTGATTATTAACTTTTCAATCACTGCAAAATGCTTTGATGGAGAAAATGAAAACCAAATTCAAGAGTTCATTGAAAACCTTTTCACATCAAAACCTGTGGAATTTTACAAAAAGTGGTATTGAAAAGATGCCAGATAAATGTCAAGTCATTGTATTCAATGCTAAAGCTTGTTGATATTATTTAATTTTAAATTTACTCTTGCATTTGTATTTTAAAATGAAACAATAGATTTTTGTTTACACTTGTGATCCTTGTATGTCAGATACAGCATCCTAATTTAATTAGTTTTCCTGTCATTTATGACCTAATAGATTATTTCTATACAATAACCATATTCATTCCTTTGTAAAGTTAACAGTATATAAACAATAGCCTAGTGGATTTAAAGTATTGGTTTGTGAATTTGGTGACATAGTAATTG